GAGGAGCAGGGAGAACGGTGTTGTAGCAGGTGTGCGTGCAAAAGCTTTCCGTCCTTCCCCGCTTTTTACCATTCCAGCAGGATGTTTGAAGAAGAGGTGGATTTCGAATTCGGACCAGATGACGTGGATGATGAGCTGGCGAAGGGCGAGGGTTCGAAGCGCGGCTTGCTTCAGGATGACGAAGGCGACGAAGAGGATCTGTATCCGGCCGCCAAGAAAATTTATGGTGGTCCCGTGGACAGCTTGGCCACGACGACCATCTTGAGTCTGCGAGAAAATCTCGAAGAGAAACGCAGGGAAGGAACTAAACTCCAGGAGGCGTTGGATGCAGCCAACGACGAGCTTCAGAAGTGGAAGGAGGTGTTTTCTTCCAGCTCGTTACTAGGAGCGGCGGTCAAGAGTGGAGGTGGAGTACCTGGGGGTGGTGGACATACTGAAGGAGCAGTGGACGAAGAGGGTAGTAGAGGAGGAGGAGGAGGAGGAGGAGAAGGAGTTGAAGCCGATCCGGAGTTGGCACACAAAGCGTTCCTCAAGCTTAAGGCATCGGAAGCGAGTCTAAGGCAGCAGGCTTTGATTGCAAAGAAGAGAGAGAATACGTTGCTGATGAGGATAACAAAAAATGAGCAAGAGCAGACCAAACTGCGAAATCAGGTGCGTGATCTGCTTGGCCATGCCATTCGTCTGCCTCCTGGCAAGATGAAGAAACTGTACCTTGAGCCCTCGATTCATGAGGAGATGTCCCATTTGAAGAAGGAATTGGAGACTTGGGAGAAGAAGTTGAAAGAAGCGCAAGAGGAGCTGGGATCTGTGGAGTTCACCTCCCACAGCAAGACTGGCAAGAAGCTGCTCGCCAAGTGCCGCATGCTGGTCGTCGAGAACGACGAGATTGGGCGCGAAGCGTCGGAAGGAAAAATCCATGATCTTGAGAACAAACTCGCTCTTCAACGACAGCTGAATGTGGAGTTGAAACGTTTTTATCAGGAGCTGCAAGATTACGTGAACGATATAAACGATGAGGCGGAGAAGCTGCAGCAGAACCTGCACGTGGTACAGATCGAACTGCAGAGGAGGGATGTGGAATTACAGGACAGCAGAAAGCATGTGGAGGTGGTTGTCAATGAAATTGGGGTGGGGGAAATGTTGGTGGATACGGTTGGGGGAAAGGACAGGTCGGGGAGTGAGGGTGGTGGAGAAGGAGGAGGAGAAGGAGGAGGAGGAGGAGGAGGAGGAGGAGGAGGTTTTGAGGACATCGTCATGAAGCCTGAACGACACAGGAAAGGTGATACTGAAGAAGAACAAGAAGAAGAAGAAGAAGTGGAAGTAGAAGAAGGAGAAGAAGTAGAAGGGGAAGAAGGAGGAGGAGGAGGAGGAGGAGGAGGAGGAGGAGGAGGAGACGAAGAAGAAGAAGATAAGAAAGTGGTGGAAAAGCCTTCTTTGTATGACGAAGACGAGAAGAGCAGCAGTCTGAATGGAGGAGCTTAGGAATCATGGAAGAGCAGCGGGGAGTGAAAACCCTAACTCCCCCTCTATTGGTCTTTTCCTTCTTCCTTTTTTTTCCTTCTTCTTCTTCTTTTTTTTTTTTTTTTCAAATTTCGTTGGCATTTCGCCCCTCTGCATAGCTTCCTCCTCCCTCCTCCCTCCTCCTTGTTCTTCTCAGCAGCGGCTCAACGGTTTCACACAGATGAAAAATCTCTCTTAGGTGGCGATACCCATTTTCAATGGGTAGAATGTGAACGTCTAAGCTCACATCTATTCCAGTTTTTCTCCGTGCGACCTCCGCTTGCCCTGTTGTTACGTTTTCCCTCAATGGTGTCTCTGTTCGCCTTTGCTTTTTCTATGTGTCTTCTCTTTTCTGCCTTTTCTTTCTTGCGTTCTTTTTGTTGTTTCCCTCTTCGTCTTCTTCTTTGAGAAATAAGAATTACCCGTTCTTGTCAATGGATTTGTACCGCTTCCTTGTCAATATGCATCCTCCTAAGGTCTCCCCGGCTTCTTAGGTTCTTTTGCCCAGTTTCATTCTTCTGTCCGACGTCAAAAGGCGAAGAACAAGTGCGCGCGGGGTGCGGTGGCGGAAGCGGATGTCAGCTTTGCACAGATTTATTCTTGGCTTGCTGATGACGACTGTCTTCCCCCGAATAGAACGCCCGGCGATTATCGCTGCATCTGGACTGAAAGTTGCCCAAAATACCAGTTATGATGACCGGGCGTTCTATTCGGGTGAAGACGGTAGCGGCTGAAGGACGATCTCGCACACTTGCTTCCCTGTCTGAAAGAAAACCATTTTGTTTTAATTGCAGCCCGCAATTTGGAACGCTTCCCCCCCGCCCCAAAACAAAGCAAAAAAAAAGGGGGGGGGGAAAGGGGAAGCTCTTTGCATCTCTTGCTACATGGAGAGAAGGAGAA